CACAGCCTCCCCCTGGGGTCCTGTCTGGTATGGTAGCCCCCTGCCTCTATTGATCTTGTACATACACACATATATATATATCCTGTTACTTCTACATTTTTTATTAGCAGTATTTTACAACTAGTTAATGACAGTTTAATCCCTTTCATTGCTTAGATTTATATAACTTTCTTTTAAGTGTGACTGTTATGGTTTACTTGTTCTTACTCCTTTTAATAAAAAGTCTCATTTCTTGACATATTTTTCTTGTCCAGAATACAGAATCCCATGAGAATGGACTGAAGACCTGTCCTGGCCTTTTTTCTCCTTCAGTTTGTCACTCTCTTTGTCCTTTCTTCACTTTTCTTCACTGACGTGGCTCCTGTCCTCCTCTGTTCACCTGTCACGCTCATTCTTTCTGCCTGAAAAATTGGCTGTAGCCTGCTGCAAAGCCTTGTTCACCAGCCTCTCTACTATGTAAAAGAACTCAGCATTAGCCAGCAATCTAACTTAGATTAATACTATGTGTTATCAATATTTTTGCTAGATTGATATACCATTGAGAGAAGGTTAATATTAATTATTATTAAAAAGTGGACATATTTGATCCACAGAAGTATCAGCTGTCTCTGGGCTCCTCCTGCGTATTAGATAGTTGACAGTCTTCTTATAGCAGAAATGAGTGGAGCGTTCTGTGACTGATGGAGCTCCTCTTTCAGTGACAGGGGAGCTGCTGCTGGCAATTTCAGGCCAAAGAATTGTGCAGATTATATTAACATCAATCAAGCTGTTGTCAGACCATTAGGACATAAATTGGACCTTATTGATGCATAATGCAACAACTTTTCATTGTGAAGTTTTTTGAGTAATAGGGTCAAAAAGTGAGTCTGTGGCATAGAAAGCCAGGATGCCAAAAAAAAGTTCTGCAGAAATGTATCAGACATGGTGCACCAGGAGAAAAGTTCAGTGTAGTATTTGGAGTTTAAAGTTTTATTTGCACAAGATCGTGCATATAGCAAACTAACAAAGGATATCGCACAAAACACATCAGACAGGTTGTCATGATTGGAGCTAGAGTTAATTCAGCCAGTCACATCACCTTCTTTTCTCCTATTTAGAAGCAGTCCAATGCAGTACGTTGATAGTTTTGTAAAGGAAAAAACTAATCTGTTGACCAGGTCCATGCAGGCAGGCAGTGCAAGCAAAGGTCCCTTCATATCTTGACACAAAAATTGCCCTGTGCTCTTTGATCAGTACTTGCACTACCCCTACTGTGTTTCTCCTCCTGGTTCAGTACAGTCAGGTTCACTGAGACTCACAAAATATAGGTACAGGTAGCACCCTTGAAAAATGCCACTTTACTGGCACAAAGCAGCACTGTGTGCTATGCACTGTCATGGAAATAGAGTTTTTATGTGCTCTGGATGCACATTGTGCTTCTTCTGCTCAGAGCTGATAAAATATATTTTAGGTTTTTTAGGGAAAGACATGGATACATACATAGGGTAGCGTGAATGTTGTTCAGTATTGTAAACAGGGGCGTTGGACAGATAAAAATAAACACAAGGTAATGTCAAAGCCATACAGAAAAATTCAGTTAACAATTTTTGTTAGAAATTTAATGAGTTATCAGTTGACAGCTCTGTGTGTGTGTGTGTGTGTGTGTGTGTTTGTGTGTGTGCGTGCATGTTGAGAAAGTGTGATTCCTGTGCTTGGATTTGTGACAGGTCTCATCGTTCTATGGGTATAATAATTCTCCCTTTCTGTGTGCACTCCTGAAGAACGCTGAATTTCTGTGCTGCGGGCATGAGGAGAGAAAGCTGAGGCCAGTTCCCCGGAGTCCAGACACCAAGGCCCCCGGGCCTCCACAGCTCATAAACAGATGTGTCCTTGTCCCCAGCCAAGTGCAGCCACTCAAGTGGCAAAGCAGGGGCCCAATAATTGTGAAGAATTGAAAGCTAAATATTGGCTTTATCTCCTCAGTAATAAAAGGGCCATGAAATTGATTTAATGCTGCAGCGCTTCTCTTGGGTGGCTTCTTACAGTGTGAGCACAAAACAATGAGCAGCAGCCATCTATTAATTAACCTACCTAATCCTGCAAAGTTAATCTCTCACCACAACTTTGCCCACAACTAACTTCCAAGCCAGTGGGTCTACTGGGGGTGTCATGACAATGGCAGCGAGGAGAAGATAGATTTAGCACTTAGGAACGGAGAGAGAGAGAGGAAAAAGAGGTGGAGAGTGCTGCCTGAAACACTGTTCCACACAGCAGCCACAGGGACATTATAAGTGGAAATACAGGGGTGCATGACCATCATTACCATAGTATCAGAGTTGATTTGTGTTTTTGTGAAAAGAGGCAGCGAATATCATTTGAGCTGTTGGAATCAGTTCCTGGTGTGGTGCAGCTGCAGTAGCATAAATGTGGCTGAAAGTTGCCTTCAGTTGTCCTTTTGTATTCTTTTTCCAATGTCACCATGCCGCCTTAGTCCCTTATTCTCTCCTAAGCTATTAAATAGTCAGGGGGGAAAGTGGCATTTCTTTCTCTTCTTCACCTGCCTGCCAGTCGCAGCACGACAGCACCTCACACCCAACATTCATGGTCATATTGTGTCGACAGAGTTGTGAATTACCTCCTTCTCAGCCAACTGATGAAAAGCTATGTGTTTTTCTCTTTGGCTGTGGCTCATCTGACCCTGCCCTCTCACCTCCTCCCCCTTCCCTCCCTCTCATAAGCCTTTTGTGTGAGCCCCTCTTTGTGGAGCAGCAGTACAAGGCTGGCTCAGAAAATAGGTCACCTGCTGGTGCTCCCCTTACCTCCACAGCACTGAAAAAAAATCCTCTGAGGTGTACTATACCATTTTGTAACATCTAGCCCACATTCTTCAGAACGTGGCCAAAGCAAAGAAAACACACACACACATCTAGCTAAAAAAAAATAAAAAATAGAAACTCCAGTTGGTGGAATTTGGAGATTGTTTCTTGCTGGTGAGGAAAGCATTTCCTGTGGAGATAATTTTAGGAGGCTGATTAGGCATAGACAGTGTTGAGCCCAGAGTGAGGAATCTCATCACCACTACTAATGACATGCCATTCCTGAGCTGAGAGACAAGCCCAGGCCCTGGGCACGGACCAGCCTCTGTCGGCTACGTCAAGCTGCTGTGTTCATTAAGACCAACAACGTAACAGCGATTCATAGATACTGTGTTGGCTTAATTATAGACTGATTATTAAGCTGATACTTGTTGGAATAATCAGACCCTAAAGAAGTGGGTTTATATTTGCATGGTATTAAGGTGTTTATTTTATTAGTGTATCATAAGCTGACAGTTGAATGGGTATATAGACATACTTTTAAAGCTTGAAGCTTAAAAAATCTCAGTGCTGGAGGACTATAAATGTTTGCATAAGAAGAAACAAGCACAAGAGACTTGTTTAGTCTTCATATGAGCTGACAGATTGAAATCTCCTCTGAGTGGCAAATCATCCAACTGATGTCTCCATCTGATTATGGAAGATGTTTTTCTAGTCTAGATCTTCCAACTGAATAGCCCAAAAAAGTATAATACTTTGCCTCTTGCATTACAGTGGATGATTCAGATTCCATAGAAACTAGCTGGGAGCACTCCCGAACAAAATGCAAGGATATTCCCCAGAGGTGGGGCTATTATGCCCCTGTCTCTGCTGCTCAGAAGTGGTTCTAATCTTTCATCCAAAGCATGTGACATAAACACCCCTCAGAGCCCAATTCTTTTACTAATATAATCAGGGAGGTGATGAATTGCAAACACACCCAAAGTCAGTTTAGTCACAGTTTTAAACTGAAGATGAATACAAATTTTTTTCCCTGTCAGTCTGACAGAAATCGATTATGGGAAAGAAATGAGAGGATGCTAATTTCAAGTATATATCATAATAAATCAGGATCGTATGAACCCCCTCCTGAATGGGTGAAATCTTATAAATTGTTTTAACACATGTACAAGATTAAATTTGCAGAAATTAAATGATTTAATCTTTATGTTTGCTGAGTTAACCAGTCACACAAGTTATGGCCATGACAAGTGCTTTGAAGGCGCACATCAGTTAGTTGTTATTTTAAACATCTGCACTTCTTCTTGCTCATGGCTCTCTTTATGTGTCTATGAGGATGAATGGAGCTGCAGGGTTTTGAATATCACAGTGGCTTCTGTGAGAGTCGTCGATAGATGTCGCCCTGACATGAGCCACCGTCTCTGACAGCTATAGTTTTATCCTGTAGCTCAGTGCTGGTATCAGTATTCTCCTGTAGCTCTGGGACCTACTCATCCATGTGCAAGAAGTGATGTACAGTATGTGTGTGTGTGTGTGCGTGTGTGTGTGTGTGTGTGTGCCTGCAGGCTTCCCAGCGACAGCATACGGACCGGTGGCGGCAGCGGCAGTAGCAGCGGCACGTGGCTCAGGTAGGGGGGCCCGTGGAAGAGGCGGCTACTTGGCGTACCCACAGAGCACAGGGCCAGGTAAACGCTCTGTCCATGTTCTGTGTGGCTGCTGCTCTCTCCAACTTCTCCTGCTCTGACAGAGCCTCCATGCACACATTTGGGAACAATATTTTGTTTAGATTGAAAATCTGATACACACAAAAATTTGCGATTTTATCAAACATCTATAAAGGTATACATGGTTCTTATCAAATCTCAAGTCACTTAAAAGCATAATCTGCAGTTTTCAGCTCCAGTCAAACCAACCATATATCAACATATCCCAGCCCTTCTGGGTCCAATAAACATGATTCTCCTCAGCCAACAAGACCAATCACTTCAAAACAAGGATCCATAGCCTTTTAAGAGGGTACCTAAAAGGGATCATGGACAATGAGATAAATTATAATTTGAATTTGATCCATTCATTGTGATGTGGCAGATTTATTCTAGAAAAGAAAAAACAGAAAATCATCTTCTCACGTGCAAGTTCCTGGAACTAATCTTAAGTCAAATGAGAGTCTGCTGTCTCAAGCATCGTTACTTAGACAGCAACACAATATGGCTATGCATACTGCAGCTTTTAGATTATAAATAAGATGGAGCAGTCTAAAAATAGGTTACAGCAGTTCAAGAGGTTTTTCCATGAAATAACCCTTCATCATACAAAAAAACCAAAACTCAGCAATACATAGCTTCACTCCTAATATTTTCCAGATCGAATACTTTTTTCACCAGATGAGAAATTCTTTTTTTTACCATTCGATATGATAAATTTTAATCACCATCTATAATAGTCTAATGTAAAATCTCAGGTTTATACTTTTTTAGTACAGAGAATTGGTAGATTTAAATAGTGAGTACAAAGCTCTAAGTAGTACGTAGAAGTAGCAATCAACCAGTTTATACTGAAGTCAGTTCTTTTCTACCACTCTTCTCTGCTCTCATTCACTTTTCTATCTGCTTTGATCTGATCACTTCAGAGTCAAAGCATGATGATTGCCATTTCATTACTACACAGATTCAAGCTTACTCTGTTGTTGCACTTCCTAAAGTAAATACACATTTTTAATTTTGAAATACATAAGTTAGTGCCTCTGTGTTAATGTATAAAATGTCTGCAGACATCAGCTCAAAATAAAGCGTGCAGTAATTTTAAGTGCATACTTCACATTTGTACCTAAAACAGGATGCAAGTTTATGTCTGTCTTAAACACAGCATTGATTTACTTGTCAGTTTCATTTAGACCCCTCCCCCCAACTGTAGATCATTCAGTAGCTGTCAATAATAGCTCCCCTCACTGAACACACAGATTTTTTTTTAAGAGCGGCTTTCCTAATCAGACATGCTATTGGACGCTTGTTGGAGAAAATCTGTTTTTATTGTAACTCAGATGTTGTCCGGTCTGTGCAGTCACTTACCAGTATAAAGTCAGAAAACATCCTGTTTAACTGCATGTGACAGACTGCTACAGTACAGTGTATCCATACTAGCTGCATGTGCAGACATATGCAGACAAACAAATGTACCCACCTGTCCTCATTTGAATTTAATTCAGATCAACAGAGGGAACACTGGAAGACAGTCAGATGCTCTTTATTCACATCAAGCTATTTGATTTTTCATTTTCAAAAAAAACAACAGTTTTCCCAACACTTGCAATGAACATCTCAAGGAAGCTGTAATGTTGATTTGGGGTTAGCGGCAGCACGAGACGAGATGGCAACCATCATGTACAGTTTAATTCTGAGAGCTGCAAAAGGATGGGAGACGAGCAAATGATTATGAACGTGGGGTGAGGGGAGGGGAGGAGAGTGAGGATTAGAGTGATGAACAGTGACATCACGGGCCTGTTTTAGAGTACTTAAAACAGACACAAGGCAGTTTAAAGAAAATATCACTCAGTGAACTTACCGGCCTTCATCAGTATATGGCAGAATCTGTCTGTCTGCAAAGCAAGAATATTATGATAATCATGGCAGCAAAATATGGAATATGAATGTGATTTAACTGAACTCATAAAATGTCTGTAGGCTGTTACCTAAATCAGCCGCATCCTGTTTTATTGTTACCATTTATTAACTGTTCTATTCTCTAGATAAAAACTTCACCAATGCATCTTGATGATATAAGTGTAGTTCCTTGCTCAGTGTAGCTGCTGCATGAAGTCAAAGTGTTTGACAAATGGGTTCTTGGTGATTTATTAAGTATTTGAGATGATGCTGTAACATACAACAGATTAATACATTCAGTGGTCTCTTCTCTCTATACAGACACAGCCCGTCTACCTATCTGATGTATGCCCTCTCTTTTAAAGGATGTAGATTGTTTAGGCTTGACTTTCTGTGTACAGTCCGGAGACGCTGCTGCATCACCATCCAGTTTCACAGTTTAATTTGCAGCACACTCGTGTACCATGTAATTGTGGATTCTTTGTGCTTTGACTCCACCTACAGTTCCCACAGAGCATCAAGTACTGTATACTTTGTCTACCTTGACCTAGGAGGATGGCAACAGAGGTGGAGGGCTGCCAACTTAATTGGCTCTTAAAACAATAACAAAATATCATTAGATACATTTTAAATAAAATTCAGTCATTTGAACATCATTAACAGTTTGGATCGAAACCTTTTTGTGTAGATACTGCCTTTGTATGTACAGTGAGGCTTATTTGTAGATTGTCAGTAACGCACACAGACAGTGTCGTGAGAATGTGGAAGACATTTTCCATCCCTGACAGAGGGCACTTTCACCCCACTCCCAGCACTCAGCAGACAAAATGACAGCATGCTGACTTCCTTCTCTATGACAGACCACAACTTGATGACAAGGTGTATTTTAGACTTCTCTCCATGGCATGGCACTTGCAGCAAACTACACCCTACACAAAGGCGTAGCTGTATACCACAACCAGACAAGTTTGTACCATCCTTCTGAGATACTCTATGCTTAGTTTTTCTGTTGCAAAATTTGCCAGCGCCTTCTCTAGCAGCCTAGTAGTTCTCCAGTAGAATACTATTTCCTTTGTTGAGGCAGAAAAGAGCCTCAGTTATTACAGAGGAACCAAAACACAGTTAGTAGTTCCTACTCAGAGAGACTAGGCAACATGTTTTATTTAGTAAAAGTAAAACATTAGGTGGATTCAGGCCAGATACTTTTTGAAGAAGTGGCTCTTGTCTGTATTTGAAGATGGTGAGGTATTTTGCTGCCCTGATCTCCAGCACAGTCTGATGCATCTCTATGGCAGAGTAACAAGGACAAGATTTGATCCATGTTTGTGAGGACATTTAAGAGACAGTGGCTCCAGGCGAGAAGTAGACCAGTGAGATCTGACTTACCGTGCAGAGTTTACCATTGCCTGGAGGCACAGAGGTGTCAGCTCATAATATGCTTTGTAGGCTGGTGTCACAGTTTTGAACCTGATGTGAACTATGACAGATTGCCACTGCAGGATGCAATTACTTAATATCATTTGTGGAGTCTGAACATCTAAGTAGTTACAGCAAGGAAGAAGGTGCTAATGTGCAGGTGACTAATGCGTGGACTAGCACCTGGGCTGCATTTTGGACAAGTGTGCTGTAGCCAACTTCTGCTGCTCAAAACTAGCACTAACTAGCCACAGTTTCCATTTTAACTGAGCCCAGGTAGTTTATTCATTAACTGAATGTTAATAGTAGACCTTTATGTCAACTTAATTATTGATATTCACCCTACATGTAATGAATATCCAGCTAAGTAAATCGAAAACTGAAGGTCATCAACTGAGACATTCTTTAAAAGTTTTCTTCATTTTAAAGTAGACTTATGTGAAATCTCTTGTGCTCGGTTTCCTGTCAGATAAAAACTGAGAAAACTCCAAGTGATGCAGATGGTTCTGACAGTCCAGGTAACTTCACAGGTCCCAGTCTACCCTGGTTGAGTGTTTTCCTGATTTCCTCTGAGCTTTCTGGGAAGCTCAAATGTCAGTTTCAGATCTTGGATTTACCTGCAGTGTGTACACAAAGCCACATTCAGCGTAGAGGTCTGGGTACTTGCTATGTACAGTGTGTCTGACTTGACTCAGGTGTTCAGAACTGAAATACAGTTGGCTGTGGTCAGTGTTGCATAGAAGTTTAACAGCAAAATAAATTGCTGAGGTGTCTAGTGTCCCAGTCTAGTCTGGGACTCAGGATAGTCTTCACAGTGTCTAAAGCTGACACCTCCTCTCAGGTAGTTGTTGCTCTTCTTCGCTCTTCTTCTCCCACCTCTTTTTCTTCACCAATGAAAAGAAAGAAACTGATGTGACAGATGTTTCCAAATTAAGGTCATTATCATTTTTTCCCAACAAGCTCTGTGATCTTCTGTGATGTCCAGGAGGAGACCACGACTGGCTTTGTGCACTCGGCCTAAGTGTTCTAGTTTGCTCTGTTCCGTTCGTATCAGATGCTAATCTTGCAGAGTTCAGCTCTGAGGCCAGAAGCGCTTTACATGTGCAGTGGATCGTTGGATTGCGAGTAACCCAGTTTGCGTATGTTTTGCAAGACGAGCAAAAAAATTTTGATTCGATATACGAGTGAGGTCTCACAATACGAGTAGTACCGACGCTTTGTCTGCCGAGCGTCACGTGACGTACGTTATAACTGAGCCGATGGTTCTCGCTCTTCACTCGTATAGTCAATATCCGTACTGTAACAATGGCCCCTCATGCCAGCCACGATTCTTTTCAAAGGTCAAGTGCAGGTTAATTTGTTTTATTTTTACTTTATAGTGTATTTTGTATTACTGTAATCATTTTTATATGGATAAGTGGGTGTGGAACGAATCATCAGTTTCCATTATTTCTTATGGGGAAATTCACTTTGATATACGAGTGTTTTGGATTAATAGCACATTGCCAGAGTGAATTATACTCGCAATCCAAGGTTCCACTGTATTGTATTTGGTGCAAAATAACATGAGCAGGCATGCCAAGTCCATACTGCTGGGTTTTTTTGTCTAAGACCCAGGGAAAGATGTGACACATCGGGGAGGGCAAAGTGTCACTTTGCATCTCCACCAC